AGCGTCGTACAAGGCCTGAGCGGTCTTGCACTGACTAAAGTGGGCACGCTCAGAGGAAGGGAGGTGGCGACGCACAGCAAGACGTGCAGCAGCATCGCGGGTCGCCCACTTGGAGCGAACGGCAGAGTCAGCATCAGCAGGCGGGGCAGGGACAGCGCCAGAGACAAAGTCAAAGAGAGAGACCTCATCTACCGCATCACACAGTAAGTACAGCTGCAGATCCTCGACCCAGACGGCAAAGTCAATGGCCCTCCCCTCAGCGTCAAAAGTGAGAACATTGGGGGTAGCCATAGCAGCAGCTGAAAGTCTCACCGGGATGGGAGAGTCGGGTAGGTCAGCAGCAGGCGGCTCGGGCTGCTCAGGTACCGGGCGGCTCGGCTACTGCGGGGCGGCTCGGCTACTGCGGGGCGGCTCGGCTGCTGCTGGGCGGCTCGGCTGCTGCTGGGCAGCTCGGCTGCTGCTGGGCGGCTCGGCTGCTGCTGGGCGGCTCGGCTGCTGCTGGGCGGCTCGGCTGCTGCTGGGCGGCTCGGCTGCTGCTGGGCGGCTCGGATGCTGCTGGGCGGCTCGGCTGCTGCTGGGCGGCTCGGCTGCAGTGCAGTGGCGGGGCCGGGACAAGGCCGGCGGTAGGGCCGGCGGTAGGGCCAAGTAGGAGCCGGCGGCGGGCCGAGTAGGAGGCCGGCGGCGGGGCCGAGTAGGAGCCGGCGGCGGGGCCGTGTAGGAGGCCGGCGGCGGGCCGAGTAGGAGGCCGGCGGCGGGCCGAGTAGGAGCCGGGGCCGGGCCGTGTAGGAGGCCGGCGGCGGGCCGTGTAGGAGGCCGGCGGCGGAGCCGAGTAGGAGCCGGCGGCGGGGCCGTGTAGGAGGCCGGCGGCGGGCCGAGTAGGAGGCCGGCGGCGGGCCGTGTAGGAGGCCGGCGGCGGGGCCGAGAAGGAGGCCGGCGCGGGGCCGCGTAAGGGGCCGAGTAGGAGCCGGCGGCCCAGGGCCGCGTAAGGGGCCGGCTCGGAGCCGCGTAAGGGGCCGGCGCGGGGCCGCGTAGGAGCCGGCGGCGCAGGGCCGCGTAAGGGGCCAGCGCGGGGCCGCGTAAGGGGCAGGCGGCGGGGCCGCAGGGGAGAGGGCGACCCGAAGGGTCGCTAAAACAAAAAAGGGCGCGCCTCGGGGCGCGCTTCGGTGGGCCCAAAAAAAAAAATTCGGTCCTGGAGGGACCTAGCTCTATACCATGTGAAACTATGAGCAGAGGAATGAATTGACTAAGTCAGAGTTGGGTACAAATACAACCCTAGCAAACTGTACCCCATATGTGCTACCCCACTATAGCCTACAAACATGCATCAGCTATAATAATCTGACATGTCTGTAGACTCTGCCAACCTAATGGCCCCCTGGAACGAGGTTGGACGGCATCGACGCACTTCGAATTGTACTTCGTATTTTAGACCGCCGATGTATTTATCTAACCGCTTCGATTCCGCCATGTCATCCACTTGGTCGGCGAGTGCCATAAACGACGTCGTGTAGTCCTGGACAGTTGCCATCTTCGACCAGGCACGCAGCTTCATGTGAGCTTGCTCTGAGGCAGATACGTCCTTGAAGTGATCTCGTAAGGCTGCACCCCTCTCCTTCCACGTGCGTATCTTGGTCACTACGAAGATTGAGGTTGCCATTTGATTAGCCGATGTCAAGGTCCCGTTTGCTGCATGTGTCACATCTGTCTTGGTCCTTGTGTCCAAAGTGTGGCGCCACCATTCAAGCGCCGCGCCTCAAAGAAGTGAAACCGCGTAATTAATACGCGTGGCATCATCGTTGACGTTCGTTGCAGTGAAGAAGACTTCAACGCCGAAAAGCCACCCCTTCACCGTAGTTGTCTTGTTCGTGGGATTGAACGGGGGCGGGTTCGCCGATTTAATCTTGATCGTCGTAGGTGCAATTTGCGTCGTTGATGCTTACGGCCTATCTTCTTCTTCGAAATCACGTGTGACCGTGTCCAGCGGATTGCTCATCGCTTGACTGTTTTCCTCGCCTTCTTCATCGGATGGCCCCTGACGCGCTTCACCTCGTGTTTAGCATAGCTTGGTGTTTTCTTCACATAGTGTCACTTCTGCCGAGAGATGCTGCACCGTTGCCTGTAGTGCTGCCATTTGCGTCAAAATTTCGTTCAACTTCTCCTGGTCCATGAGTCGCACGCTTCGTCTGGTCGGCAGATGGATATCCGTGGCCTTCAAGCAAGTGGAAAACAAAAACTATCGGAGTCGGGAAGGTTAGACTTAACAAACCTTGCAGCCAACCGTTTTGCAGTCCAGTGTACTAGCCATACCCGTGCCACCAAACTTCCGTAAAAAAGCGGGGTGAACTAGGAAAGTAGCTCTGTTACCAGGTGTTATGAGTTGTAAAAGGGGGTGCGCAGGATACGAATAACGGAGATATGACTGAACGAGCTGACAATACAATGAAGGCACGCAACTATATAGTGACTACCCTAGCTAGGAGGGGACCTCGGGGAAAGAGGTTTGGTGCAGGTTTGGCGATCGGTAAGTCGAAGGCGACGCGAGGAGCCTCGGCATCGTGGATGTCGGCCGAATACACAAGTCCAAAAATCGGGGTTGTACGCGTAGCAGTCAAGCCCGATAAGGAATTCGGGGAAATTCCTTACAAATGTTTTCAGTAATGTTACTCCCACCAGATTACCAAATCGCAATTGCAACTCACTTTTGTCCACCTCGACTTTCGTCACCTCGCCACGTCAGTTTCGTGATGGTTAGCCAGCAAGCTAGCTCTTGAAAACCGGCCCTCCAATACCGACTAGTTCCCCACAAGAACTCCAGGCCAGAACACCATCTCAGAGCACATTGCTGCCAGCGGCTTCCCAGCCTGTGGTCGCCACACGTACACTCAGCCCATTTCTGAAGCGCTCTGGTTTTGCATTTTTAGAAAAAAAAAAACTAGGTCGGCAATAGTCCACTTGCTATTGCCTATCGTGTTCTCCACGATAACCCAATTCCAATGATATGCGCAGCTCTGCTTGATGTTGTCAATACACACTTCAGCAATTTTCAGAATCACCAAGTGATGATTTCCAAAATGAGTACAAGCAGTTTTATAGTCAGGCAAGACACAAAACGCGACTCGTAACGTAACTTGTTTCCCAAGCAATCTCGCGCGCGCCTCGTTAACCCCAAGTCGCTCACGCAACCGAACCGAATTCACCGAACACTCCCGTAACTCCGATTCCAGTACCTTTTCGAGCACGCCTTGGTCTCGAACCCCATTTTCTCCCGTCGATCTCATTCTCGTTCTCTCTTCCTACTATCAGAGGGTGTCTCAAAATCTTCGGTCCACGCTGGATCTAGGCGGTCGACATGGGCCAGTCCACCAAACCACCACGGACCCTAGCGTGGACTGGAGCGTGGACCCGCGTGTTTTAACGACGGAAAAAGGACTGTACTTGGGAGTCTTGACTGGTTCGGCGAGCTGGTCCACGTCGGACTCCTGAACAGTCGTCTTTTCACGAAAGGCTGCGAACTCACCCCACAAGTGTCGTAAAAATTGACAGCGCGCGATGGCAGATTGCCCAATGACATGAAGCCCTTACGAGTCATAGTAACCTAGTGTTGGAAATACACGCAGTGTTCTCGCCTTCACGCAACTGAAAATTTCATCAGCGGACCCGTCCGAAGTGGTTCGCCAGTACGGACTCAACCTGGTCCGGCGGACCAGCCCGCGGTTTTGGGGTGCAGCATTTCCAAGAGCGCTAGCAGACTCGTCGGAAGTGAGACACGTCCTCACATTTCTTCCCGATTCTTCTCCATTTCACTTCCGCTTCTCACGCCGTAGCTTCCAATATCCACCGTGGGCCGATTTCCACCGCTTTACTCTAGAATAGTCCGCACGCTTCTAGTTCGTCGTCGCATTGAATCTCGCCGCAGGTTTCGTGGTTCGTCGAACCATCCCTAACAAAAAATGGCGCCTGCAGCTTGCGTTCTCTCGCTGTCAACGTCTCACTATCGCGCGGCGGTTCAGCTATCGTCTGAGTCGACTCAAAGGTCTTTTGTTCGACAACCGCCCCTACGAGTTCCATTCTTCGCGAAAGGTTCGGAATCGGTTACCCTCTCTTCGCCATCGCGACGTCGAAGGCTGTCATGCAAAGCTCTGACCGTCCGATCACCGATCCAAGTTCATCGTGATGTCGCGAGCGAAGCGACCGAATACGACGCTCGCTCAGCATTGAATAACCATCTAGCGCCGTCCGATCCCCGTTCTCTCATTACCGCCGCGACTGCCGCCGCCGCTTTCTCCGCTTCTCTTTTCCTCACGCAGCCGTCGGCTTCTGCGGTGTCACTCGAGGGCGTTGCGTCGGTAGCGCAAAACGCGGCGGTGATTGCGGAGATTTCGCCAGATGCGGCGTCAGCAGTGGGTGCCGTGTTGGGCCCGCTTTTCGCGGCGCTTAATTTCCTCTTCATCCTCCGCATCGTTATGTCGTGGTACCCGCAGGTGGGTGTGTAAGGAGGGGATGGTGTCACGGTAGGTGTGACTGTAGGTGTGAGCGGGTGGGCTAACGGCGGGTCATTATGTGTGGTGATGACATCATGGTGCTGCACGGTGAACTCATGGTGACGTCATGCTGCTGGTGTCATGGTGATGCCCTGGCAGCGCCGTGTGTGACAGCTGGCTGGGTTGAAAGTTTATCTGTGGAATGACCAGTGCTTATAATGTATAAACATATTAATAATGTATAAATATATGAGTGAAGGAATGTAATGAGTACACTGTGGCAATATCATATGCTCTCAGTGTCCCGCCTTCACCTCGTTTTGTCGCCTTCCGCCAACCCATTCTCTCCCATTCCTCCCCCTCTCGCTCTCCTTCTCGTTCCCCTCTCCCTCCCTCCCCCACTCCCTCCCCTACCTCCCACCTCCATCCGTTGAGTCCTCTCCATCACCTGCGCCCCAAGCCTATCTTGCACCTCATTATCCCCCTTTCCCACTGCCCCCACTTTACATCTTTCATCGCATGCGTGCGTGCCAAACCTATCCTGCACTTCATTTTTCCCCTTTCCCCGTTCCGCCTGTCACTTCCACCGCACTGCTCCTCCCCCTCCTCTCTCGCTTCGCCATCCTCGCCCGTGTGTCACCAGGTCCCGTCCTGTTCTGCTTCCATCCCTCCAGCAATCATTCGCTGAAGTGGGACGGTTTTCCCCCCTCGTCCTTCCCCTCTCTCCCGCTCTCGTCCTTCCCCCCTCTCCCCTCCCCCATCCCCCACCCCCTTCGCCCCTCTTCCAGCTCCCAGTGTTGACATCTAACCCACCTGCTGTGTGTGCGATCAACCTCTCCTCCACACCCTCCCCCCTTCTCCCTTGCCCCTCCTGCCCCATCCGTTTCGCCGCGTTCTTTCCCCCCTTCCTCCAGCTCCCAGTGTTGACATCTAACCCACCTGCTGTGTGCGATCAACCTCCCTCCCCTTTCCCTTCCCTCCCTCCTCTCGCCTCCCCCGCATCCCCCTTTCCAACCGCCCACTCCAGCTCCCAGTGTCGGAGTTCCCTTTCATCATTGCCTATGCACCCACGGAGCCCATTCTCCGTCTCACCAGAGCCGTCATCCAGCCCATCGGGGGGGTCGACATCGCCCCCATCGTGTGGCTGGCACTAATCAGCTTCCTTAACGAGATCCTGCTCGGGCAGCAGGGGCTGCTTGTGCTTATAGCGAATCAGGAGTCTCTGTTGTAGAAGGAATTTCAGTATAGGAGATGGGCTGGCTGAAAGCATTGTTGGCCCTGGTGTGTGGCTTGCACTCATGTTACAAGTAAAAAGTGGAGAAGAGATAGGGTCTAGGGATCACCCTCATTGTCTCGCTCACCCTCATTATAACCGTCATGACATGGGGCTTGGGGATGCGAGGGTACCGTATCACCCCAAATATAAGTGCAGTTGCGCTTATATTAAAACAATGCTTTTCAAGGGGGTTTGCTTATAATTGAGTAAAATTTATAAGCGCATGTACTTACATAATGACAAATACAGATATCGAAATCTAAAACGCCAAACTCTAGATTTCCTTGCATTTTCAATCAAATCGAAATGGTAGTGCGTCACAAATCAGATTCGCGCGCGAGCGATTCTATGCCGGCGCACAGGGGCAAATTTACACGTCACTTTCAAGAATGCAAGCTCATACTGAATGGACGCGCAGGATGTGATGTCCTCGAAAGTCATGCAGTGAACTGGATAAGAGAACTGCATAAAGAGCTTCATCAGGACTAACAAAATTACACATCGTAATAGCACTCCAACCCAATGATCAGTCCGACCACGCCAGGGCTCTCGATATTAGATTAAAATACCCTTTTTGCACTGACTTGCGACCGTTTTTTTCCAGTTACCCTTACACACGAAGGGTAGTGGGATTTTTAATTTAGGCCCAGGCCCTCAGAAGTCAGACATTTTTCTCTGATTTGGACTTTTTTCTCTGATATTTCAGATTTTTCTTCCTGTGTACTCTGATGAAATCAGACTTTTTTGGGCCTCAACTCTGAAATTTTCAGACTTTTTTAAAGGCTAACTCTGAGAGTTCAGAGTTTTCTGAGAGTGTACTCTGATAGTTCAGAGTGCAAACGCGTCCTTGACTGGTGATTCGGACTTACGGGTCACAGCAGATTCGCACTGTCAACGCAAAATCGCATTGACACAGCAAATCCGAGTCTTACAGCACTTGATTTTTGTCCAATCATAGGGAAATCGCCCTGACACAACAGATTTTTGCTGTCAGAATACAACAACCTTCGCCCAATCACAGCAAAATCTCCCTGACATTGCAGAGTCGCCCATTCGCTCGACAAGATTCGCCCTGACACATATATTCGCCCTGTCAGAGCATGTTTCGATAGCAAATGAATGAAACATTGAATTCATTTCCGATGAAACACTAAATACATTGATTTTGAATGATCAGACTTTTGTTTTAAGACACTGAAATTTCAGCCTTTTTTCTATACCAAGTCTGAGATTTGCAGACTAAAACTGTGTACTATTCTGACGAATCAGACAGGCCAAAAACGAATCCGAGGGCCTGTTTAGGCCGGAAAGTGTGAACGGTTTTATTTTTGAGTCTACAGGGTATGGTTTCAGTTACACTGATACTGAATTCCTGGAAGCGAGGATTTCCGAATTCCAACACGTTGCGAAACAGACAGCAGGACCAACACACACACAAAACGACATCAACCCAAGAAATCCTACGCGACGTGCCGCGTAACCACCACATTGGTGAACTTGGCAGCCAAGCTGCCAGCGCAACACGAAAACACGGCTTGCGCATCATTTGACAGCTGCCAGGCTTGTCTAGTAGCGTGCCGGCAGCAGTGTAGGGCAGGGATGCGTTGTTCATGTTGTTCAGGGCACCTTATGGCAGCCAAAAAATACCACCGTGAGCCATGCATGAACCGCACTCCAGGGTCTTCCAAGCCATCACGGGTGTTGGAGGGGGTTGTTTTCCCAAGAACACTTCATCTTCTTGCTCCTTCTCATACTCTTCGTATGGGGAACACCTACGAGGGTCTCTCTCATGTCTCATTCACATGTAGTGCGCAATGGCCTATCACTGCTAGGAGTTATTCCCCGCCAGTATGACACCTATAGCGTGCCGATCTCAACGTTGCCACGTCCCGCCTCTCCAGTGCGCAGTGTGGGAATTGTGTACCTGTTCGAGCCGCCATCCACGCCTGCTGGCTGGGAGCCGCACCCGTAAATTGTTCTTGTGCCAAGCGGTGGTGAAGGGTCGTCCAGCCCCCCCGCGGGTTCACCGTCCACTGTGAACAGCACGCCGGGGAAACGCCCGCGTGTCGGAGTGAAGTACACGTAGCAGCGGCTCTGTGGAGCCCCTCCACCACGAATGGAAGCATCACCGCAACGTCCAGCTGTCCGTGACGACGAGGCGCCTGCAAAAACAACCAGTGACGTACTTTACAAGACCATAAAGCATCGCTATGAGACGGAGTGGAGTGGTAAATTTGAGTGGTTGCGTCTGATTCGGTTGCCTGATGGACCTGCAAAGCTCAAGTGTGAGATTTTTGTGTGTAGCATGGCGACCCCACCGCTCACACTAGCTATGGTGTGAGAGGTGAGGGTGGGCGTGACCTCCAGATTGGAAGCGTTCGGGCCCATTCCTCAACGAGAGCCCACAAGAACACAGTCAAGAACCAAGCGGAAGCTGGCTCACGCTCGTGCCCCTGGCGCGAACAAGTTGTCTCCGCGCACTCGTGCCTGCGTCTTTCTTGGCTTCCCTTTGGACGCCTCTGGCTGGGTGTTCTACGACCCGGTCACCTACTAGTTCTTTCCTTCGTAACACGTCATGCTCGACGAGTCTGTTTGCTACTACAGGAGTCGCCCCCACCGAGGTACTGAGGTCTTTCTCCCCCCGCTGTTCCTCACCCTTGAGCCTCCCCCAGTCGCCCCGGTAGCCCCTCCCCCTTCGCGTCCTGCCCCGTCATGTGTGTCGCACGTCACTCCGCAGTCGTCCCCCCCGCAGCGTCCAGTCCATGTTGTGTCTAGGGGTGCGGGAGGTGCAGTTGCGGAGGGTGAGGGTTCAGGGGCTGCTGGAGCTGGTTGTGTCGTCTCTGGGGGTGCAAGGGTTGTGGGCGTGGAGGTCACTCTCGTGGAGGACACGGCAGCCTCGAGCCGGCGGCCTCGCCCCGCGTCACCCCCTCGTTTCCCGTTCGTCCCGCAGTTCCCTCCTCGTTCTTCTCTGCGACCGGTTGCTGCAGAGCCTGGAGGTGTTCCTGTGGGAGGTACTGGAGGCCCCGGGGGTGTCGGTGGTGGAGGTGCTGTTTCTGGGGGTGCTGAAGCTGGAGGCACTGGCACTATGGCGCCTACACCGCGCACTGTACGCTTCCCGACCCACGAGCAACGTCTCCTCTGGTTGGAGAGGGAGCATCGTGAGCGTTTTGAGAGGGCACAACAGCACCAGCAGCAGCAGCTGCTACAACAGTTGCAGCAGGAGCAGGAGCAGTCTCAGTCGCAGCGGCAGGAGAGAGTAGAGGAGGAGCCACAGCAGGAGGTGCCGTTGCAGACACAGCAAGAGAGAGAGGAGGAGTCCCGCCCGGAGAAGGTAGAGCTAGAGTCCCAGTCACAGCAGGAGAGGGTTGAGCAGGAGTCCCGCGCGCAGCAGCAGATGCAGTTGCCGACACAGCAGGAGAGAGTAGAGGAGGAGTCACGGCTGCAGCAGGAGAGGGCCACGCAAGAGTCCCTTTCGCAGCAGCGGGTGCAGCTGCAGCCGCAGCAGGAGAGGGCAAGGGAGGAGCCACAGGCGCAGCAGCAGGGACAGGTACCCTCGCAGCAGACGCCAGAGGAGGCGGAGCAGCGGCGACTGCGACTGTGCAACCTGTCCAACCCAGCACCTGCACGCTTGGTTCGTGGTCCCCTACCGTCCCCTCCTGTTCCCCCCGTCCAGTCCCTTTCCTCGTCCTAGTGGACTCGTCGTTCTCCCCTCAGTCGTGCTGTGTCCCCAGAGCCCCGTCGGTCTCGTTACCGTGAAGATGGCCCATTTCACCTTGTTCTCCACTCTCGTGTTCCACCTCCTCCCGTCCTTCCACAACCTCCTGAGTCGTCCTTCACTGTGCTTCACGACCCGTTGTCCGACTACATCCGTGCCTCCTGTCCTGTCGTCTCCTGTGTTTTGTCCGCGTTGGTCACTCACCCGGATGCACCCCTTTCATCCGTCTCAGCACTTGTTACCACTATCGCTGGCTTTGCCTCTTCCCACCGCCTTGACTACGCCGCTCACTTGGTGAGTGGCCCTGCTCATTATTCGTCCTCAGGGGGTGCTCCTGTCTTTCCCCTGAAGGTCCTACAGGACAGACAATTTGAGCTTGGTTTCCTTGCGGTCGTTGTTCCTCATCTGTGCGCCTTGCTGCCTGCCCCTGAGGGGGATCCCGATGCTCTTGATATCCCGATCCCTCGCACTCACGCTGAGGCGGTCTCGAGACCTTGAGCCTCGTACAGGATAGTAGCTGAGGAGGCAGAGATGGCATCTTATAGGTCCACCAGCACTTACGTCGACGCAGTCCCACCACATGGGACGAACGTCGTCAGTGGCCGATGGCTCTAAAAGGTGAAGCGGCCGCCTGGATCACCACCAGTGTTCAAGGCGCGCTATGTGGCGAGAGGCTTCAGTTAGCGAGAAGGGGTGGACTTCTTCCAGACCTTTGCTCCCACCCCAAAGATGAGTACACTTCGGGTGTTGCTGCACATTGCAGCCCAATGCGACTACGAGTTGCACAACGCCGACTTTTCCACCGCGTTCCTTCAGGGGAGCCTACACGAGCAGATCAAGCTGCGTCGCCTGCCTGGCTTCATTGGCTCTTTCCCACATGGGATCCTGTGGCAGCTGCGCCGACCAGTCTACGGCTTGCGTCAAGCTCCACGTGAGTGGCACGACACACTTCGCTCGACCCTTGCAGCGCTGGACTTCTTTCCGTCGTCTGCTAACCTGTCACTGTTCGTCCGCCGTGGCTCGACGACCTAGTCTTCGCCACTCCCGATCGACACGCACTAGCCTCCGTGACGGAGAAACTGCAGAGGAGACACACTTGCACTGACCTTGGTGAGCTGCAGCGCTACCTTGGCCTGCAGATCACTAGGGACAGGGCAGCTCGTACCATTACACTGACGCAGTCGCATATGGTCGAGCAGATCCTCACGTGGTTCCACTTTCCGTTTCTCCAAGGTACAGC